CTATTCGCCAAACTGTTCATCCACACTGCAGTTTAGATGCAAACATTTACCGTTCCTTTCAGTTGATCAACCCATAAATTTTCTGTAGTAGCTCTAAACTACGTTTCAACAGAAGAATTTCATTTCTCCAACAAACAATGTAATTGTTTTCCTAACTGCGAACAAGCACTTTAAGTCCAGAATGCCATTTCTATTCAAATTGTTCAAGAAGAAGAGGAGATAAAAATTGCAAAGACAATTGAAATTCACAGCACTGGTTCCCCTAAAATAGTTGCTAGATGAACCCTAATTCTTAAACCATATAGATTTTAAGGATATCAAATCAGCCAAGAAATAACTTGATCAGACAGAGAAGAGAACATCGAAAGAATCAACAAACCTTGAGAAGCTCGTTGGCTTCAAGTGTCTCGATGAAAGAAGTAGCCAAGCCAGGAGTGACGCCAGACTTCCCCACCAACTGACTCTTCAGCTTCTTCCCCAAGCTATGAGCGTACGATGCCAACTCTTTCTTCTCCTTAACCGTCAAACTCGGAATACTCTTCACTTCACTTCTACTCACCACCGCCGAAGACGAGTCCGAAGCCACAGCAGTTTCCAATCCGTCCTCAACCGTATTGTCTTCCAGTTCGAAATCTTCGATTTCAACTTCATCTTCGTAATCACTTTCGTCGTCATCGTCAATTACATCGTCGTCTTCAAATCCGACCGCAGAGGTACCAGAAATGATGGAAGAAAAGGAGCGAGAGAATGAAACGGATGCTGAGGGAGTGAAAGACCGGGAACGGTGAGGAGATTGGCGAATGAGGAAGATAGAACTGTTGGGTTTAAATTGATGGGAGCAAGCGGCTGAGATGACGGCGGAGGGTCTACAGAGGAAAGTTGAGAGAGAAGAAGGAACTGACCGGAGAAGAAGAGAGTGGATGAGGTGAGAATGAGAGGGAGAAGACATTATCGAAGCTCCCATTTTCGCTCCTCCTTGTTCCTGGCGCCTGAAACTGATAGAAATTTGAGAAGAAAAATATCGGATAAAACTTATTATAGTAAATATAAAACTAAATTTGAGAGCGAATATCAACGGGTGTTTGGTCTAGTGGTATGATTCTCGCTTCGGGTGCGAGAGGTCGCGAGTTCGATTCTCGCAACACCCCTTTTTTAATTATATTAATATCTTTTCTAATAAAATAAAACCGTTTTTTCACTTTTCTTCGAGACTAGTTTATTATTAATTTTAAAATATATATTTTTACAATTATATATACCTATATTTATTTTATTTTTGTTTAATTTCATATTATTTTTTCACGGTTTATTCTCCACAATTTTTAAAAATAAATATATATAGAAATTTGAGTTAGAAATTCTAATTAAATATTTAAAAATAAATAAATAAATAAATGTTTATTTTTTTTGTTAAGTAACAAAAAGTTAATAAATTACTTGGACAACTCAAACAAACCTAACCTAAAAAGTTTACCATTTAGTTGAGTTTATTATTTAATGAAGGTTGTTTAGGTTGAAATTTTTTACTATCCGAATAACTGAGTTCAGTAAAAAAAATGACTCCACTTGATTCAATCCCACTCTCGAACACTCCTAAGAAGTTGATGTAGATTAATCAAATGTTACAAATATTTAGTATAGTTTTAAATCAAAATATTTTTCCTTAGAATAATATGTATTAACAAGCACATATAATAAGAATAAAAAAAATGCAAAACTATATAGTTGTTGTACATAATTACTTTACTATATAGTTTTTTGGGCCCATGAATATGGACAGCCCGTCCTCTTAAGAGCCCAAAAGATAGAAAAGGATGACGTGGTCCTGTCTTAAACGGGGCCCACCTTCCCACGTGAAAAGCCCACCTCACCACAGCTCATCGCTTCCTTTTCAAGTAAAGCCTCCCATCCCTAAGGCCCTCTCAATGTTAAGAAAAGTCATTGTCTACCCCTTTTAATGGGTTAGATTCCTCCAACTTTAGTAAGCAAATAATATTGGTAATTTATTTGTCGAGTTAATCGACGTAGTTTGATAATGTCTACTCGAGATTGTTAATCTGATCAAGAGGTCAACGATTCGATTCTCTTACTTGTGGTGTTATTGAACGGAAAAAGGATGAGACAAACTCCGTTGATAGTTATAATATACGATCAATGTAGTTAAAAGTAGTTTGATAGAGGCACTCAAGACTGTTAATCTGATCATAACTTAGGTACTTGGATAAGAGGTCAGCTGTTCGAATCTCTAACTTCCAATGTTTGAACTGAAAAGGGTGAGACAAAGTCTGTCTTGTCATTTTTGTTTGTCACAAAATTTTGGAATATGGTTAGATTCTTCCCACTTTTGTAAACGAACAATATTGGTACTTTATTGGGAGAGAATCAATAGATTCCTTTTCGGGAGCGATTCATCCTTCCCGAACGCAGCATACAACTCTCCGTTGAATTAGGGTTGTGTTGCTATTTATAATATACTATTAATATTTATGTAATTAAAATAGCTTGATAATGATTGGGATATATGTCCTTGAACGATCAAGAGGTTAGAGGTTCGAATTTCTTATTTCCGGTGTTATTGAATGAGAGAAAAATGATGGGTTGACCCTAGTAATTGTCATTAGAGTCGATGAAAAAAGTTGAAAGACTTCATATTATGTAATTTAATATATCAACGACTAAGCTAGATCGAGTTCGAGCTCATAGCTATGTCTCACATGGGGTGGACCACATATTTCAACCTCTTTCTCCAANCTTATGAGCTTCTTTGCTTTGCTCTTTTTTTTTTTTTTTTTTTTTTTTTTTTTTTTTTTTTTTCAAGTTTGTGGGAGAATTAGTAATTATTTTTAAAATTGTTCTTATTTTCTCGAACTACCTAACGATTACCTAATTTAAATCATGACAGTGTGGTTGGGTTAGTTTTGTAATATCCCATATTGGTTGGGGAGGCGAACTGTGGGGGAAACCTTTCACTAGTAGACACGTTTAAAAATCTTGAGGAAGAACTCAAAGAAAACAATATCGACTAGTAGTGAAACTGGGTTGTTACAAATGGTATCAGATCTAGGTTTCGGGCAATGTGCCAACGAGGAGGTTGTTTACTGAAGGGTAGATACGAGGCAGTGTCCTAGTAAGAACGTTGGACCCCAAAGGAAGGTGGATTTGGTGGGGATCCCACATCGATTGGAGAAATGAACGAGTACCAGTAAGGACGATGGCTCTAAAGGGGATGAATTGTGATATTTTCCCACATTGATTGGGGAGGATAACGAAACACCTTTTATAAGGTGTGAAAACCTTTCTCAAGAAAAAGTCCAAAAAGAAAAAGTTAACAGAGATATATAAGAAATATATGAAATAGAGAATATTAAATAATAATAATAATAATAACAACAGCGAAGTAAATTGGTTAAAATAAAGTTTTAAGTTATAAAAAATAAGACAGTATTTAAAAAATTAAAAAATAAAATATTATCCTAATAAAGTTTTAATATGAAGGAGAGGTTGTTGGTTAGTTAAAACAAAGCCATCTTGATTTACGTTGCTTTATGCCCACAACCAAACATTTTACCAATTTTAATTCTCTATTTTCAGCTCACCCTTCCTAATCCCATCATAGAGTGGTTAAAGGGTTTTCCTTTTTCTTTTTTAATTAATATTAAATAAATTAATAATACACTTTTTTTTTTTTTTTTAATATTGTTTTCTTAACCTTTTATTTTATAAATTTCTAAAAATATTCTCTCAAATAATTTAGTTTTCTAAAGTAGCGATTAATTATTTGGTTCAGAGTCGTTTTTAAATTGCGTGTTAAAAAATATTTTATTCGTTATTATCGTTCATGGTTTGGTTTGTTCGAGAGTTAGGACCTTTTTTAATAAAACTTGATTAGGGGTATTCTCGTCATTTAGCTCTCTCCGTTCCACTGATATTGAATGGCGCATGAAAGTATTAAAGAAAGACTGCATTTAGTAGTAATTTTTTTATTTATTCAAGTTAGTGGTAATTTCATTTTCGAAAGAGTGTCTCGACTTGCTTAATAGTACATATACTCGAGTTGTATGAAGTAGAAACTCGTCACGTATACGATTTGGAAGCCAAGCTCGGGTTTCGAATTTCTACCTAATTAGGTCACAAATTAAGGATTTTTTTTAGGATTCCGTGGATGAAATTAAGTGTAAGGTAAGTTGGCTAATAATTGAAATTTTAAATCCGTATTTTTATAACTTTTTTAGAAAAAAAAAAAAAAAAAAGAAAACTAATTTCATCGTTGTCGTGGGCGCACATCTTGAAGAGATTAATAAACGGAGTAGGACGGCGGCGCGTGGTAGCGCGTGAGAGTGGATGCGGCGGTGAATGTACAAAAAGACTAAAGTAGCCCCACGTGTGGCTCTGGAACATGCTTGTACTGTCACATTACATTTGCCCCTCCAGGTCCTATGTGTAAAGTGCGGGGTGGCGGCCCCACAATCACATGGTACAGGAAACTCTCCGCCGCGCGCCTCTCCGGTCACTCTCTCTCTCTCTCTCAGTTACATTCTTTTAATTTTGTTAAATTGCGTATTAAATTTTGTTATATGTTCCCATTATATTTTGATATATACTAAATGAAATAAAAATAAAAGCACTCTTTTTTATTAATTTTTCACGAGTAAAAAAACAAAGTTAAAAAATATCAATTAATTAAATTAAAACATTTTAAATAATGTTGAAATTCCTTTTCTTTTCCGTTCATTATTTTCTATAAATTAAAAAAATGGAGCAATTTCACTTCATTTGTAACGTAATTAATATATATATTTAAAAATTAAAATTCGTATTAAATTTAAAAATAAAACAATTCCACGTTTATTTTCTTAAAAGTCCTTTTTTTCTCCCTATTTCAAAAACAACCCCAGCTGTCCGCCACGTCATCCCGCTTTAAATATATATATATATATATATAAACAAAAATTAATCAAAATTCAAATTAAATTTTTAAAAAATATAATCTCTATCTCTCTCTCTCTCTTTCACTATCCATTTCTCAGTAACGCCCGCTGTCTTAAAGAAGACGAAACAATCTCTAACTTCTCTCTCTAAAGTCTTCCATGGGAGGTAGCTTAAAGCGTTGAACAAATTATTAGCACAGACAAAAGAGAAGAAGAAGAAGAAGAAGAAAAAGGGATTCTCAATGTTCTTCGCTTTTGCTTGTGCAACCATGTGAGTTTTCTGACACTCTTTTTCTTGCTTGCTTCTGATTCTTATTCTCCTTCTTTTTTAATTTTTAATTTGATTTGATTTGATTTGCATTTTGCTCTCAGAGTCCTCACTGGCTTGCCTGATTCAGTCTATGGCGTCTTCGTCCCGAACGCGGAGTAGTTCGCCGTTTTCTCATCGGAAATCTGTTGCTTCTTCTTACTATTCGAGTCCATCGCCCAGTTCTTTCACGAACGGGAAGATGATTCCTCGACCTTGCTCGAGTTCGGCGTCTTCGCATTATGGAATGGGCGGTGGATTTGGTTCTCGATCAATGGCTCATGGCCGAGGGGTTTCGGATTCAATGCACTATGGAGGTGGAGGTTATGGTGATTGCTCGCCGGTTGGGTTTATTTCTGATGATTTGATTGCTGAGCCTGTGGATGAGCTGAGGAATGGAGATAGCATTTCGGTGACGATTCGGTTTCGGCCTTTGAGGTAAGTGGAGAGATCGGAGGGTGTTGAATCTGATCCGTGATTGATTTTAGTGTCGGTGTTTTTGCGATTGATTGAGTTTTGGTTTCGGGCTTATGCTTGCAGTGAGAGGGAGTTCCTGAAAGGGGATGAGATTGCTTGGTATGCGGACGGGGACAAGATCGTGCGCAATGAGTATAATCCGGTCACGGCCTATGGATTTGGTACTCTTTTTTAAATTTGAATTTGGATTAACGTAGCAGCAATGTATGTTTTCGTGTTTATAACATCGCGGGGACGGTGTTTCTCTGTGGCAGATAGGGTGTTTGGACCAGAAACGATTTCACAGGAGGTGTATGAAGTTGCGGCCAAACCTGTCGTTAAGTCAGCGATGGAGGGTGTTAATGGTGCGAAACGTTTCACTGATCCAGATATTCTTTGAACTAAACAACATCATAACTCGTAGTGTCGTTAAAGTTTTTATGTAAGATCATGGAAGGATTATTAGACTGATAGAGATAATTTTCGATATCTAAGAGGAGAACTTGATTAAATCTAACAATTGAAGGATCTTATAAGCTGTTTTCTGTTATGCAGGAACTGTATTTGCTTACGGTGTGACAAGCAGTGGGAAGACGCACACTATGCATGTAAGTACGACTCTTTGGCATCATGCCCACATGTCTAATCTTTTTGAGAGCGTTTTTACAAAAATTATTGAGTTTGATTTGCCCAAAAACAGAGTTTTTTAATTGCAATTATTATGCGTAGTAACCCTGGACTGTTTGATGCCAAACCAGATTATAATAGTTCAGCTTGTTTTAACCACTAACTACTTTGTTAACCGTTAATATTCATGTCCTTATAAGAGCCTTATTAAGAGTTTGAATTCTACATTGAAGTTGCCGGAGAGATGATGAGCCCTAATTTTCTTGTTGAATCAACAATAGCATTTGATTTTTTCAGCCTCCAATTTTGGCCATCTGGTGTTAATTTATAATTGTTGGTTAGTTTTGAGGGCTAAATGCTAGTTACACATATATTAGGGTTTCCGTTTTAATTCAGCTGGAAACTACAAAAAGAGACTTTCAAAAGTGACTAGTAACACTATTTGACATTTATATTGAAAGATTCTTAGTCATGAAGCAATTGTTATTAGATTATTTATTTTTTCGGTTACTCCATTTCCAATTTTTTTGAAATTAGAAGTTGGTGTTAGATTTGAAACTTGATTGGCAGAGAGTGATGAGTTTGGTTGAGAGACACATGGTAATTTGCAGGACAGCCGATATGACATTGTTATGAGACGATTCAATAAGTTTCTCTTCCTCGCTTTTTCTACCATGGTGTTATCTTTTTTTTTTTTTTTTTTAATACTTTCATACCTCCCCCAATGATAGCTTAGCAGACCTTATTTTGGTGCCTTGGTAATGTTATTGATTTGCTTGTCTAAATAATTTTCACAGGGAGATCAAAACTCTCCAGGTATCATACCACTGGCTATAAAAGATGTTTTCAGCATCATCCAAGATGTAAGTGTCCTGGCATAATGAAGTGAGACATTGAATAGTATTATCTTGTTCTTTGGCTTGTTGATGTCTTTTTAATTAGGTTCTCTTAATTTCTTGATAATTTTTTTTCGTAAAACTCTTATCTTGTGGGCAGTTATTGTTGTTCATTAGGATGCTTAACATCATTTGAGTTCTAAACTGCTAAGTATTCTTTTGGTCGATGTTATAGTTTTGGTAATTCTTCTTTTTGTGCTCTGGTTTTTGAAAAAAAAAAGCATTAATTTTGTCTTTAAAAAACTTTGGATTGCTTTGTCTCACAATTGCACAAAAAATGTTCACATTCTGTAGTTTGTATGTAGTTTATCATCTGTTTATATTGGTGGTAGCCAAGACGGAGCCTACTGTGAAAGATAGTCGGCACGTAATGGCTTGTGGTCATGACTCCTCCGTGATGAGGTCTACTCAAGTCTAAAAGTGCCCGATACTTATTTCAATCAGTTTTTTCTGAGAAGTAAATGAAAAAGTATAAAATGTGTATGTTACATATATATGTGTGTGTTTGTGTATCTCTTCTTTAGCTTTTTTAAAATCTTGTATATTTTAGAAATGAAAAAAAGCTTAGAAGGAGGGGGTCAGTGTGGGATGAGTCCTTTCCGAAACTTTTTATGCTTTTGTCGGGTGGGCTAGCTAAGGCATAAGTCAGTCCTAAGGAAGTACTTAATTCTTTATCAGAAATAATAAAATATTGCAGAATTTAGTACAGTCGTTACCCAAATAACAATTGTTCCCTTTTCTACAAATTTTAATCCTGAATAGTATTAGATATTTATTATATCTTAGTTATAATAATTAAATTATTGAACCTGTGTTGAATAAAATTTCAGACTAGCTACCATGTTTGGATAACAAATGTGCAAATTTACTACTTTAATAAATATTGATATTTATGAATTGATTTTTGCTATTCGCATAAACTATGAAGGAAAGATTGTTATAAATGATTTTTTTTTTGCATGCCTTTTGCTATACTCTAATTAACCCTTTCTTTATTAGCTTATTTTTCTTACTAGCTTCTGCATGTTATCTGATTATATTTATTTGTTACAAATTTAATAATCCCGTTTATTTATTTAATTTTGTGAATATTTGACCGTATAGATGAGTGTGGTTGTTTTTCTGTGTAGACTCCTGGAAGGGAATTCTTGCTTCGTGTATCTTACCTTGAAATATACAATGAAGTAAGTAATTCTATACTGAAAAATGTTAGAGCTTCAGTGATTGATCATATCTAGATTGTTATTTTATCTTTTAACTTACCGCCAAGTTCCATTGGCGGGTGTAAATGTAGTTTATAGCCTATATAGTTCAGAGTCAAAGGATATCTTGTTTTTATATGAAATGAATATAATTTTGGCATCCTAAACAATCATGTACAAACTGCTAGTACTAAGAGTTCCAAATCTTCTAAGTTATTGGACTCGTGATCATATTTGCATTCTTCATACCAGGTGATAAATGACTTGCTAGATCCAACAGCCCAGAATTTGCGTGTTAGGGAAGATGCACAGGTGCTTTTCTTACTTGTCCTCATAGTTATCACCTTGTAAACTATTTTTGCTTTGTTATAATTGTATATTTTATGCTGCCGTCATCAATTAGGGCACTTATGTTGAGGGTATAAAGGAAGAAGTGGTTTTATCTCCTGGACATGCTTTATCATTTATAGCCGCTGGAGAAGGTATTTATTGGGAACTTCTGCTTCCACACCATTTCTCCTCATTGGGCCCTTTTATGTGTATATGTGGTTTATGGCTAAATGTCTTAAATGGCAGAGCATCGTCACGTTGGATCAAATAATTTCAATCTTTTTAGTAGCCGGAGTCACACCATCTTTACGCTGGTAAAACTAATGATTTCCTTGTTGTTGGAGTATCCAATTGCTTGCTCTTCAGTAAATTTATTTGCTATGGTTTTATTTCTATTTCAAAATGAAGATTGTTTTCCATGATTTAAATTGCTTTCTGCAATGTGCATCTAGACGTCACCTCTTTAAGTTACCAATTATAAACTTTTGGGAAGTGCATTTAGGAACTCCAAACTGACAATCTTGACCTTAGTATTTGGCCCCTTCCCCCTGATTTTAACAACATATTTGTGTTATAAAAACAATTAGTTGTGGAATTCCAAGTTCAAACTTTTTTTTACGAACGGATGCAAAGATATGTACATTGATACATATTTTAGCATCTATGCTCGTAGAAATGTACACACATATGGTTTATGCCAGTGTACATTTTATCAGTACATAAATACATTCATAGAAACATGAATTCTTACATACCCAAACCAAATACATACATTCCGATAGACATGCTCACACACAGAGGTGCAAAGAGGCATGCTTATCAGATTTTGTGGTTGCTTTCACTCTCTCGTGCATTCTTCCCCATCGTTCTGCCTCTGTAAACTAAGAGTGCAGTATGCTCTTGCAGATGATTGAAAGTAGTGCACATGGTGATGAGTATGACGGTGTCATCTTCTCTCAGCTTGTAAGATCGGACCTCTCTCATTCTGATATGTAGTGCTACTAAACTTGAATGTGCCATTCTGATTAATATTAACTCCATGCAACAGAATTTGATTGATTTAGCTGGGTCAGAGAGCTCAAAGACCGAGACTACTGGACTGAGGAGAAAGGAAGGAGCCTACATAAACAAAAGTCTTTTGACTCTTGGAACAGTAGGTGCCTTTTTATATGGCTTTTTTGTGTTGATTAAATATTTTTGCACTCTTTCCCTAACAAATACAACCGTACAATTAGGATCTGTATCATCCTGATCCTGCTTTAGAAAACCAAGTTTTGCTTCACTATCTCTTATCCTTGTAGTCTTACGTGCCTGTTGATTTAAGGATCTCATCAATTCATCCATCCATTCATTGCAGTTGGCGAGTGTTAACTATCGAAATGCATATAGGTTTAATTTTCATATATTTCATGAGAATGTTTGTACTTCTGTGATATTGGTTTCCCTTATGTAGGGGATACCTCAAGATGGAAGTAATTTATATATTTGGTTGCACTGTGAAGGTTATTGGGAAATTAAGCGAGGGGAAGGCATCCCATGTTCCTTATCGAGATTCTAAGCTTACTCGTCTTCTACAATCCTCACTCAGTGGTCATGGACACGTTTCAGTGAGTATTTGATTTAGAAACAGCTTTTTTGTAGTGCATGCTTCTCGTAGATGGAACTTATAGATGAATCATCTTTATTTATTGTCATCTGCTTTCCTTTTACTTACCTTGAATATTTATGCAGTAAAACTTGCCAACTTCCTTTTGATTTACACAAATTATCTTCAGCTTATTTGCACAGTAACTCCTGCATCCAGTAACATGGAGGAAACTCACAATACATTGAAGTTTGCTAGCAGGGCCAAACGAGTTGAAATCTATGCCTCGCGCAATAAGGTTTATTGAAGTTTCTTTTCAACATGAAGTTAGAAGAAAATGTTTGTTGATCAAATGATTTTTTCCACTTTTCTGAACTCTTCTTTATTGCATTTTCAGATAATTGATGAAAAATCTTTGATAAAGAAGTATCAGAGAGAAATTTCAACCCTCAAGCAAGAGCTTGATCAGTTGAAAAGGGGGGTCATTGTTGGTGTTAATCATGAGGAGATAATGAATTTGAGGCAACAAGTCTGTGTTTTCTGCGCTCATGTTCGGTGGTTCAATTACTATTTTCTGAATACTATTTCAATTTGTTTATTCTTGTATTGTTATATAGTTGGAAGCAGGTCAAGTGAAAATGCAATCAAGATTAGAGGAGGAAGAAGAAGCTAAGGTTGCTCTCATGAGTAGGATTCAGAGGCTGACTAAACTCATACTAGTCTCTTCTAAGAATTCTATTCCTGGATGTTTGAGTGACGTTCCTAGTCATCAAAGGAACAAATCTTCTTTTGATGATGTAAGTTTTCTATATAATTTTTCTTCAACTTAGGTATACACATTTACTTGTTCTCTTGTGATTGCCATTGCCATCACAAATGTGAAGAACTTACAAATTCAGTGCTTAGAAGATCCAAGATGAGCACTCTCATCTAAGATTGCCTTGTTCTGCACATTAAACATTTTTTATGGTCTATGACTGGAATCCATGGTTGTTCTGCCTCCATACACTTTTGCAACGACAATTATTATTATTATCATTACCATCATTGTCTGTTTTTATTTGGATAAATTACAATTCAAATTATAATTTTTGTTACTTGTGCATAATAAAACCGTGTTCAGTTAGTTTTTTTCTTTTGCCATGTTTCAAACATCTAATAGCCAACGAAGCAGATACAACTTCCATCACTGAATTTTTGGTCCCGGGGCCTCTTTTCCTATTTCTAAGCGACTGACGTTTGCAGTTCTTACTTCAGTTTGAGAATAATAAATCTATTGCTCATCTTTCAAATTTCCTTTTCAGAAGTTTGAGGTCCCCCAAGAATTGCTTTCCGAAAGCGAGAATCAAAATGATCCATCTTCAATTCTTCACTCAGATGTTTCTTCAATCCAGTTGAACGGCGAAGGCTTACCAGCTGCTAGTGTAATCACTGGATCAACTAACGTGAGTGAAATTATTGGTGCTTTAATCTCTCTGTGATGTGCTACATGTTTATGAGTTTCTCTTCACAAATTAGATATCATACAGAAAGCTTTTAAGTTTTTTTTTTTTCAATTTTCATCTGCGCAACAATAGCAGTTTACAATGTACTCAATTATATCATATCTGTTTATCCAGCGATGAGAGCTCACAAGGCTTTTTGCCGGTTTCTTGTTTTCTTTTTCTTTATCACATTTTTTTTTTCTATTGAAGGTTTCTCGGTTCTCTTAGAGCTATGAGCTATGAATTTTAAAATGATTGTTTATATTGTACTGTAGGACGAAATGTCAATGTCAGATCAGATGGATCTGCTGGTCGAGCAAGTTAAGATGCTTGCTGGAGAGGTTGCATTTAAAACCAGCACACTGAAACGTCTGGTTGAGCAGTCTGTTGATGATCCTGATGGTTCTACAGTTCAGGTATAGTTTGTCATGAGTTTTCTTTCTTTGCTGCATTTTTAATCATGTCCACGTTCCTTCATCCAGATCCAGGACTTAGAACATGAAATTCAAGAAAAGAAGAGGCAAATGAGGGCTTTGGAACAACGAATTGCTGAGGGTGACAAGTCTTCAGTTTCTAGTGCATCAGTGGCTGAAATGCAGCAGGTGCTGCTTCCTTGAGCTCATTGACCTTCCTTCAATTACTTCAATTTACTTTTATTAGAAATTTAATTAGTTTTTTTTTACTGTTTTTGTATGGTTGCAGACTGTTACAAGATTAATGACTAAGTGCAGTGAAAAGGACTTTGAGCTGGAGGTAAATTTTCTGAGTTATATTAATTAAAGGACTTCGATACTGCAATGTTGTTCAACTGATTGAAAGGTTGATTTAATGCAAGCTGCTGGTCCAATATATCGTTAGTAGGATATACGATCACCACACCCCAGATAATTGCAAAATCTCTTATTTATTTACTTTCTTCTCTTGATTCAGATCAAAACGGCAGACAATCGTGTTCTTCAAGAGCAATTGCAGAATAAGGTTTTTTGCCATCTCTTTTTGTTCTCTATTTTCCACTATATATACCTGTAGTAGAAAATTCTTCGAGCATTTGTATTTGTACCTTAATTAACAAGCTTCCTTCTCATTGTTCCCCCTTTGTTTAGTTTTGGAACATCACTTGTTTCCATATTTGTCTGCTGGCAGTGTGCAGAGAACAAAGAATTACAGGAGAAAGTAGAACACTTAGAGCATCAGTTGGCTTCAGTTACTAGCAATAAATTGCCAACTTCATCTGAACATTGTCTTCCAGAAAAATATATCGAAGAATTAAAAAAGAAGATTCAATCTCAGGCAAGGCTTTTCACTTTTGGTTGACTACTCTAGTTGATTTGTCGATACTGATTCTTGATGCTTTCTCTATAGTATTACTGCCATGATTGGATGAGACCGTTGATAGTTTATAAGGATGAGTGGCTGTACTGTATGCTTCTTTACAACTTGACTCGTTTATTCTGTATCTTTGTTTCTTTAGTCTATTATAGAAAGTAATGTAACCTGTATATTTTTGTTTCCCTTCTCAAAAAAAAAAAAAAAAAAAAAAAAAAAAAAAAAAAAAAAAAAAAAAAAAAAAAAAAAAAAAAAAAAAA